AGAAACAGATCGCCAGCAAGCACCAACAGTTGGTACAACAGTACTTAAACCTCACACGCCTCTATAACCTCTTTAGGTGCAGAAAGGTACTTTTTCTGAAAGAAGCCCCGAGTTGAAAGAATAGAATAGAATTCAACTTTATTGTCATTGCACATGTACAGGTACAGGGCAACAAAATGCAGTTTGCATCCATCCAGAAGTGCTTTAGCCGTGATATAGATGTATTACAATATATATTAGCAATAATATAGATGTGTAAGTATATTACAGAAATGGATCTATTACGTATGTTATAATGTACACGGTATGAAGTATGTTATGAATAATCTATGACTATAAGTACAAGCAGTCCATGGGTTTAACGTGGGTCATATGTCAGGAGGCAGAGTTCAGGAGTCTGACAGCTGTTGGGAAGAAACTGTTCCGGTACCTGGTGGTCTTAGTCCGGAGGCTCCTGTAGCGCCTCCCAGAGGGCAGCAGGGTGATCAGTGCATGTGATGGGTGACTGTGGTCTCTGATGATTTTCCTAGCCCTTTTCAGACACCACTTCCTGTAGATGTCCTTAATGGCAGGAAGTGGTGCTCCGGCGATGCGCTGGGCAGTTTTCCCGACCCTCTGCAACGCCTTCCGGTCCGAGGCGGAGCAGTTCCCATACCAGACTGTTATACAGTTGGTCAGGATGCTCTCGATGGTGCAGCGATAGAAGTTCACCAGGATGTCTGAGGACAAGTTGTTCTTCCTCATAGTTCTCTAGAAGAAGAGGCGCTGGTGAGCCTTCTTGACCAGCTTGGAGCAGTTGGTAGTCCAGGTGAGATCCTCGGAGATGTGGACTCCCAGGAACTTGAAGCTGCTCACACGCTCCACTGCCGTCCCCTTAATGTGGATGGGTGGATGTGGGTCAGCATTCCTCCTGTAGTCCACGATGAGCTCCTTAGTCTTCTCAGTGTTGAGCAGCAGGTTGTTTGTGTCGCACCACTCAGTCAGACGGTCCACCTCCACCCTGTAGGCGGTCTCATCGTTGTCACTGATGAGGCCAATCACCGTGGTGTCATCTGCAAACTTAATGATGGTGTTGGAACCATCAGCAGGTCTGCAGTCGTGGGTGAAAAGGGAGTAGAGGAAAGGGCTCATCACACAGCCTTGTGGTACACCAGTGTTCACTGTGATTGTTGATGAGCAGCGGTTATCCAGTCAGACATGTTGAGGGCGGTTGGTCAGGAAGTCCAGTAACCATTTGCAGGTGAGGGAACTGATCCCCAGGTCTGTCCTTTTCCTGATGAGTCGTGAGGGGTGGATTGTATTGAATGCTGAACTGAAGTCTATAAACAGCATTCTGGCGTAGGTGTTGGTGTTGTCCAGGTGTGAGAGGACAGAGTGCAGTGCAATGGAGACTGCATCCTCTGTGCTCCTGTTCTGGCGGTATGCAAATTGGTGGGGGTCCAGGGGGGGGGGGGGGGGGGGAGGATTTGAAGTGTGCTAAGACCAGCTGCTCTAAGCACTTAGTGATGATGGGGGTGAGTGCTACTGGGCGGTAGTCATTGAGGCTAGATGGGTTGGAGTTTTTGGGTATCGGGACGATGGAGGTGGATTTGAAGCAGGCCAGTACCACAGCATGGGCCAAGGACAGATTGAATATGTCTCCCCAGAACACGCTCTGAGAACACGCCCAGGGATGCCATCAGGGCCTGCAGCCTTGTGGGCATTGATCCTGCTCAGCACCGCTCGTACATCGGTGGGGGAGAGAGTCAGAGGTTGGTGGTCTGGCGTCATGTCTGTTATGGTTGTGGTTGTGAGATTCCCTCGCTCAAAACGAGCATAACAGTTGTTGAGCTTGTTGAGGAAGGAAACATCAGAGGATGCGGGGGAGGGTTTGGTGATCCTGTAGTCTGTGATGGTCTGGAGTCCTTGCCACATGCGTCAGGGGTTGGAGTTGGAGAAGTGTTCTTCTATCTTCTTTTTGTAATGGTGTTTGGCTTTTTTGATGCCCTTCTTTAGGTTAGCCCTGGCTGTACTGTAGGCGTGTGCATCTCCTGTCCTAAAAGCAGTGTTGCGGGCCTTCAGTAGGAGAGGAACATCCCGGTTCATCCAAGGCTTCTGATTGGGGTACATGGTGATCCTTTTCTGGGTGATGACACTGTCTGTGGTTACGGAGATGTAATCCAGTACAGATGAGGCATTCTGGTCCAGGTCTGTGTTGGTGAACATATTCCAGTCTGTGTTTTTAAATCTGTCCTGGAGCACTGCGTCTGTCCCCTCTGACCACACTTTAATTATCCTCACAGCAGGTTTCACACGTTGGATGAGTGGTGAATACTGAGTTGTGAGGAACAGGGAGAGATGGTCCGATTGTCCAATGTGGGGGAGGGGCGTTGCTTTGTAGGCTCCAGCCAAGTTAGAATAAACATGGTCTAAAGTCTTGTCTCCTCTAGTGTGGCAGGAGACATGTTGGTGGAATCTGGGGAGGACTGTCTTTAAGTTGGTGTGGCTGGTCGCCAGCAACAATAAAAGCAGCCTCGGGGTGTTTATTCTGGTGTTTGTTAATGGCTGCAGAAAGTTCTTTCATGGCCAACCTAGCATTAGCGTCGGGGGGGACATACACTGCAGTAAGTATGATCGAGGTGAGTTCTCTGGGGAGATAATAAGGTCTGCATTTGACCATTAAAAACTCCGCATTGGGTGAGCAGTGACTCTCAGTAGTAGTGGAGTTCATGCACCAAGCATTGTTAGTATAAATGCACAAACCTCCACCTCTGGTCTTGCCGGAGTCATCTGCTAGCCTGTCGGCTCGGTGTGTGTGGCGTCCTGCTAACTCGATAGCATTGTCCGGGCAGCTGTTGTTCAACCCTGTTTCGGTAAAAAAACATGGCATTGGAGTCCATAATCCGTCTGTTGTTAGTCATGGAGAGCCGTATCTCATCCATTTTGTTTGCCAGAGAACGGACATCGGCGAGGAAGATACTGGGTAAAAGCAGCCGATGTGGTGTTAGCCTTAGCTTGGCCCGTAGCCCTCCGCGCCTGCCCCGCCTTTGTTTACGTTCTCGGCGCCATCTGCATGCACTTCCGCCTGGCCGGGGAGGGGTGGGGGGGTGGGGCAGCCTCCGGTGTTCTGGAGATCTCTGGGATGAGTCGGAGATCGGCGATAAAACTGTTGGAGTTATAAGTCCAGATGTCCAAAATCTCTTGTCTGCTGTAGGTCAGCAACGCACAGCAATTCTGGATGAATAATCCGGTTAAAAGTAGATAAAAAACCGCTAAATAGCAGATTCTGGAGAGACACTGAGCCTCGCGTTGTTCACGCGCCGCCATCTTGGTCATAGTCATAGTGATGTGCATTAAGCTGCAGAAAATGCCAGCAGTTGTTGTTTTGTTTAATTGTTTGATTTTCTCTTAAGGGCACGTGTCCATCTGCAGAACCAGTCTACACATCTGCAACATCACTGGTTAGTTTGGTGATTTCATCAGAAAGAAGTGACAAACATTACTTATCAGATTTAAAGGAATGATTCTACTGAAAACTTCTGAGGAAGTAAAAAAGATCCTAACTCAACCTGGAATGACTGCTTTGTCACCTTCCTTCTTTTGATGAAAGGAGCAGAAGTTTGTAAGTCTTACATAACTCCATTTAGCTGTAGCTTCTTGATGATTTTAATACGTAAATTATCTGTGAGAAAATAACACAGTTCTTCATCGGTTCCAAGCAAGATTGTTATTGCTAAACAAAAATAACGAAAATAGTAAAATAATTGTAAATTAAAAAGGTATTTCATTAACTGAAATAAAATAACTAGACAATGCAAAAAAAAAAAAAAAAAAAAAGAAATCAAACAGAAACCAATGAGTGTTGACAAAACTAACTAAAACCAACTGGATTTATAGAGAAAATGGGCTTAGTTTATGTAATTATCAGTATTAAGTCTAGTATCTTGTCGACTATCGGTCTCGTGCCGGTATTTAGCCTTAGATGGAGTTTACCACCCGCTTTGGTTTTGTATATCTGTGCCACGTTACACCGGTGGCTGGTACATCGGTGAAGTCGACTTTGCTTATGCCAAAGAAGGTCTCTCCAATAGAAGTTGTCCTGCTTTGGGATTTTTGTTTCCAGTAGACAAAAAAATGGCAATTAGCACTTAAAAGTACTATTTGTAGTAATAGTAGTGATAAATTATTAAAGTAAAACTCTTATGAGTTGGTAAAAAAAAATTATTACAACTAAAAGCAGTAGCTCAGGAGGTAGAGCACGTTGTCCAGTAATAGGAAGGTTGCAGGTTCGATATCTAGACAATTCTGCTGTTGTGTCCTTGGGCAAGACACTTAACCTGCCTTGCCTGCTGGTGGTGGTCAGAGTGACAGGTTGCGTCAGTGTTCGGCAGGCCTTGCCTCTGTCAGTGCACCCAAGGACAGCTGTGGCTACATCGTAGCTCATCCCCATCACCAATGGTGAGCAGCAGAAACATGTATTTTTTTAAATTCTGATTATTTCTTTACTCATCAGTGGTATTATTTTTATTTTGTTTTACAATTATGTCTTGATTAAACTAGATCAATTTAAGGTTTGAGTGAACATTAATATGGCTTATTAACACTGGCTTTTCTTGGGGGGGACAGCAATTTCCTAGGGGTGGCCATGGTCACCCCTGGCCACCCATTGGGGGCACCATTGATTGTAGAACCCTAAGAAGGTGCTACACAAATACAGGCCATTTACTATAAAATAGAATTGACAATCAAATAAAACTGAATAAATGAATGAATGAATGAATTTCACTTTACATTATTTCATCATTGTTGTTAATCAAATTACTTGTTTAATAACTCAAAGTTCACACTGATCTTACTCGTTGTGATAGGAGGATTTTCATCAGTTCATTACTTTATTTCTTTGTCATGGTGACTGGTATGTTAACTCTGAGATAACTTGCTCACAAAATATTCAAAAGTTTTTAATTATAGTATTGCGTCAGAAACTTCCCTTCCTTCAGGGTCGTATATAAAGAACTGACCCAAGCAAGGTTGTAGCTTCAGAGACTTTCCTTCACACTGAAGACCTCTCCACCAAGTAGACTCCTGACTCTCTTCAACTGCCTCCCTGCACAGGCTGAACTCTCATATTTCCCTGATAGAAGAGAACTGAGCAAGGAAAACGGTAAGATATACTAGGAAAACATTAAGTAATGCTTCCTAAATGTAAATATCCAAGATGCGCCATGTGTAGAGCGTACAGAATGAATCAGGGATAAAGTAAGATAAGATCAAATGTTTTCCTAAAGCCTTTAGATTAAAAAACACTGTGGGCTCATTAGATAATATTTCTAATAAATATCAAAATTCACCAAATGTAATATTTCCTGCACTAATCCTTAAAAACGTTTTGTGGTCTTTTATTAGATGACCACGAGGATCATTCCTATTCTCCTGCTTGTCTGCCTGATGCTGGTGAGCAAAGCTGAATCAAGAGAAAAAACCGAAACAGAACTACGCTACGAGAAGTTTCGAAGACAGCATATAGCGCGGACAGATATGGCTGCAAAAAAATGTGATTCAGAGATACGTGGTAAACAAATCTACAATACTGACAACACTTGCAAGCCCACAAACACGTTCATTCTCGATAACCCAACAAACATCAAATTAATTTGTCAGGGCGAAGGAGATTTGAATGCCGGCACTGGGTTGACACGTAGTCGAAACACGTTCAAAATCATTGTGTGTGAATTGAAGAGTGGAGAACGGAAACCCAGGTGTCAATATGAGGGCAGCCTTCTCACAAACAGATATGTGGCTGTGAGGTGTGAGAACAATCTACCGGTGCACTTCGACAGAGACATTATGAATTTTGGTGGATGATTGTTCTTCACCGCTAAAACAATGATGACATTGTTTCTGTTCAGCTTCAAATACGAGCGGTTTGCCTGTTTGATCATTTTCTCTTTTGTACGTCTGCATCACGGAGATGAAGTGTTGTGAACACAAACGTCTTTTCCTTTCATTTATCTGCATGTATTAGTTATTTTGCAAAAAATGAAAATGTATTGCAACAAAAATAAACCAGCTATAATAAAAATGTTGCCTCTGAGATTTATTCACTAACTTCTCATTACATACATGTGTGTGTGTGTGTGTGTGTGTGTGTGTGTGTGTGTGTGTGTGTGTGTGTGTGTGTGTGTGTGTGTGTGTGTGTGTGTGTGTCTTCTCCATCCCCAGTGAGTCGTGGAGGATGGCTGCTTATACTGAGCCAGGATTCTCTGGAGGTTTCTTCCTGTTAAAAGGGAGTATTCCTCTCCACTGTCGCTGCATGCTTGCTTAGTATGAGGATTGCTGTGTAGTCACTGACACTAGACACTGACACTAGTCAGTGACTTGATGCAATTTGCTGGGTTCCTTATATAGGAAACATTATTTCTGATTGGCTTAATGAACTGTGAATTGGAATGTTTATTATGTGAAGTGCCTTGAGACGACTCTTGTCGTGATTTGGCGCTTTATAAATAAACTTGAATAGAATTAATCTGGGTCTTTGTCTTTACTCCTCTGGAGTCCAGCTGACCAATAACATCCATCCTAACCTTCTTGCTGCCAAAGACAATAACTGCAGTCTTGTCTTTGTTTAGTTGAAGGAAGTTTGATTGATTGATTGATTGATTGATTGATTGATTGAAATGTTTATTTGAACATAAGACAAAATATTATTAAAAAATCTATGAACATAGTAGAAAAGAAAAGATATACCAATAAAAAGAAGTCTTTGTCCAAAGGGAGTAAGAAGAAGCAAGTGCTTATTCAATCCCACCCCCTTGTCTCACATTACTAATTTACTTTACAAGTTACCATCCTGCCACTACACTGTTCGTGTATTTCCTGCAGCCCGTTCCACAGTTTCACACCACATACTGATACACAGAAACTCCTGTCAGTGGTTCTTACCCTGGGCATTTTAAACATTTTAGTCCTTTGTAAATGATATCCCTCATCACTCTGGTTGAAGAGCTTTTGAATATTAGGTGGCAACAAGTGCTCACTGGCTTTAAACATGATTTGAGCTGTTAGATAATGAACCAGGTCATGAAGTTTAATGTATTTTCGCTGTAAAAACAAAGAATTTGTATGATCCAGATACCCAACTTTATGAATGACACGTATTACCCTGTTCTGCAATACTGATAGTGGGTGTAGTGCATTTTATAACTGTTTCCCCAATGCTCTATACAGTAAGTGAGATATGGCAGAACTAATGAACAATACAGAATAAGGAGTGATTTACAGTCCAACAGTTTGACTGCATCCAGTCGTTTGCTTGTTCTAGGCACCGACAGAGTGAGTCCAGTGGACGACAGTCACTAGGTGATAGAGCTAGGTAGATCTGGGTGTCATCAGCATAGCTATGGTAGGCTATGTTGTTATTAAGTATGCCCCTGTCTTTGAGATAGGACTGGAACCAGCCAAGCACTGTGCCTGATAGTCCCACCCAGTTTGTGAGTCTGTCCAGAAGGATTCTAGGGATGGGTACCTTTGACATTTGAATAGATCCGGTACTAATTCCCGGTACCTAGGAATCGATACTGGTACTTAATGGTACCAATTTTAGATACTTTTGAGTGTTTAATATTTTAATTCTCTTTTATAATTAAATATATATTTTTCTCAATATATAACCATATTTGATAAATATCACGATAAATAACATTCAACTGTTTGTATTTTAACATCGTCCTTGTAGTTTTATAAGCTGATAATTCAACTGAAGCAAACATCTTTACTGTGAACTAAATTTACTGTGTATCTTCATTCCTTTTGCCGTCCTTTTTCATTTGATTTTTCCTACTGGGAAGTTAGAATTTCCAAGGAGAAAGCGAACGCAACATTAGCTGATAACAATGGCAGCAATGGAAGCTAACAAGTCAAACTAACTTTATCTTAAACAGTTTATTTAGCTGCTGGAGCAGATTAAAACGATGATGCCTCACACTTAGATCGTTGTCGCTGGTTTCATCTTCAGCCAATCACCCGTCGCATTTAGTAAAGTGAAGCCAAACTTTAGAGCGCGTTCATGTTCTTCTAGTCGGAATTTTGGAGTTCCGAGGAGAAAGCGAACGCACCATTAGCGGAACGGAAGTTAACATATCAAGCTAACTTTATCTTAAACATTTTATTTACCTACCGGAGCAGATTAAGATGAGGATGTCTCACTTAGATCGTTGTCGCTGGTTTCATCATCACCCAGTTACCCATCACATTTAGTGAAGTGGACCCGAGCTTTAGCGTGCGTTCTTTCTACCATGCTGCTCTGTTTACAACTGGCTCGCAGCGACCGACGACATAACGCTCTTGCGCATGCGCAGCTGTCTAGGCAAGTTCTCGTTATGAAGGACGGGTACCGAAACGAGGCACCGTTTCAAATGACGTGAATCGGTGCTCGGTCGGTACTATGGAATTCGGTCGGTACCTTAAAAAGTACCGAATTCAGTACCCAGCACTAGTTCACAGTATCAAAAGCTGCACTGAGGTCAAGCATCATCATATTATTGAGGAAATAATTCCTCATTGCCTGAAATGAATAAAACTAATATAATCTTTTTGTGTAGAGGTTAAAAGGTTAAGAAGACTCTTATTCCACTCCTCTGTAGTTTTTCTTCTGGTTGGTGTTGTGTGCCGATTTGAGCTGCTCCAAGGGGGTACGCCCTGGAAACGCTGTCCCTCACACACTTATCACACACGTACTCAGCGACATGTTCAATCGTTTTCAGTCTGTAATTGGATTCAATCTTCCTCCCAGTGATGAGCAAGCCCACCGAGTCATTCAGGGTTAATTCAGTCCAGTTTTAATTCCATCGATGAAAACAACCCGCTGAGTCATCAGCAGAACTAACAGGGCCACAAGAACTCATTTCACTCCTCGATTGTCATAACCACAATCATTCTGAGACACTGCGTGTTTGTCTTTTAATCTGTCATTTTATTCATATTTGAAGTTTAGAGTGGAACCACATTTAATTTCCTTTTTGCTAAATGAGTGCATGACAACAATAAAAAAGCTGGGAGTTTATTAGCTTCATTTTATTCTATTATGCGAGTAAACTTTATCAAGGAGTTTTGAGGCTGAATGTCTGATCTCTGATGCATCTTGTTGATGCGTTAGAAAGTTTTGGTTGGAAGTGTGTTCCTGTGATGTACGGATGACCTAAGTGTGATCAGGTTAAGCTGTCCAATCATCAACTATTCTCACTCACTCAGCCCGTAAATTGCTTTGTCCTCACCAGGGTCACAGGGAGCTGTGATGTCCAGCAGTCATCAAGCATGGGGACACCGTGGACAGGTCTCCGGTCCACCACAGGGACACAAAGAGACAAACGCTCACTCACCGTTCGGGACAACGAGTGTTTTGTTCTGAGGAAGGACCTGGTGAAAACCCACACATGCACCGGGACAACACGCTAACATCACACAGAGAGGCTGCTACACACCAGTGATACCAACCGCTACACCAAGCTGCCATCCACATTCTGGTATTCAGTAAAAGTACACATAGTGAACAGCCATCCAAGGCTCTACAGGTGGGACTATTACTAATCGGGTCAAAACCAACACAACAACTGTTGATGAAGCGACGTATCCAGCCTGCCACTACCTAGTGCTGGTTGGATTTATGGTAAACATGCTGTCAAGCAAGATGAGATGGTGCTAGGGATTAGCATACCTAACTTATATAGACTAGTGGTACTCAGCAGGCAGCCATCTTTGAGGTAAGGGCAGCATGAGGGCAGTTGTTCGGCTCACAGAGCTGCCCGTTTGTTTTTTCTTCCCCATCATAGCGCGGTTACAGGTCAGCACTAGTGACGTACCAACACATTCTCACACCCAAAGCATCCAAAACCGAAGGGTGACCAAGCGTTTGTTTCCGATGTGAGCCACAACGCGTCGGGAGGCGACGCGCTGTGCCGGAGCATCGTTTTCCGACGCCCGCGGTAAAACAACCATTTCACCAACATTTAACCTCTAATCTCTTGCTATTTAACCTTTTCCCCACCCCCATCCTAACCTTAACCCTCGTTTCTCGTTCTAAATGTCTCGTTATCCGTGTTGGAGAGGGACTTAACAGCTAGAAACAAAGTGTTGCATGTGCAAGAGCGCTACGGTTAGGATGGGGTGAAGGGAAGGTTACAGAGCACGAGGGTAAAGGTCACAATTCTGTTAAATCTCCGTTTTACTGCGGCAGTCGGAAAACGACGTTCTGGCACAGCGCGTCGGGAGGCTCACAACGCATCAGAAACAAACGCTTGGTCACCCATGGTCAGATTTGGACGCTTCGGGTGTGAGGATGTGTTGGATGTATTGGACATCGAACGAAACGTGACATCACAAACAAAACGGCTCTTTATAGAGCCGACTCCTTCTAGAGTGTCATGGAGAGAGAGGGTAGGAAGCAGTGTCCTTCATATCAGACGTCTCCAAGAGCAAAACTGTTCACGCCCATCTTTGTTTACCAACTAAAGGAGGAGAACACTGACCTGTTGCCCCACCCTCGTGCTCAGAGACTTCTGTGTTCCTGATAAGAGTGTGTGGATATAAGGAAAGCCAAAGGTGACCACAGGATCTGAACTGAGTGACATCACACACACAAACACACACAGAGAAAGAGAGAGAGAGTGTGTCTCTGATCGTAGTGAGGTGGAGGTCGGGGTGGTGTGTGTGAAAGACCAGCAGCAATAATAACATTAACGTGAAGGCACCTGCAAATGTAGGTGGGGACAAATCTGTAGAAGAGCAGGAAAAGAAAAGCGCTGCAGAAAAGTGACAAAATGAGTGAAAACAGGATGCTGGGAAGTCCTTTCCTGCCATGTTTGCAAATATTACAAAATACTGTTGAACTGAAATCTTAATTTCTGCTAGAAAAACAAACACAATTCAATCTTTTCCTGAAATGGTTCTGTCCCAGTAAACCAACACGTTTATCTTAAATAACAATAAATTACATTTTCTAGTTTCTTTCAAAAAAACTTTTTTCAATAATCATTCATCTGATTTTATTTATCAATATGCTGTTTTCTATATCACCCAGTCCTTCCT